GTGTGTGCGAGCGAGTGCCAGGATAATCAGCGTGATGGGGGGAAATTGAACAACAAGTTCCCAATTGCATGTCTTGGCCAGAAATTACAATTTTTAATGCCAAATAATTCGAGCTGGCTTACAGGCACTGAATCCTTCCTTTGCCAACCACTTTTAACCTTTTCACATATTCCGAAACTTGGTAATGAAGCGAAATTTCCGGACTTTTCTTTTCAGAAGTCAAGTCAGTTTTTATGCCAGTGCATCTGATATTAATTATTAGTTTTTAAAATGATTAAAATGATCAACTTTAACTAAGAGGATATGAAAATTTATTTATTTAAGTGTATTTTAACTATTTTGTAACCTTTGTGCATTTTACGAATCTTGCTAGTGAATCACAATTTCCGGCCTTCTCGTTTTAGCCAGTTTGTCAGTTAAAACGCAAGTGCAAGTAATAACTAATTATACGTGGAGCTGAAAATAGATTAACTTAAGGTTAATTTTTACTAAATTCTTCATTTTAATGCTAGTAATTTGCAATGATTTGGCTTTGCTTAAAATAACTTAACAGAAGTTCGTACAAATAATTCATAAATCTTATAATATATATAACAAGAAAGGAAAGCTAACTTCGGGCGGAGCCGAAGTTGATATACCCTTGCAGAATACTCTGTAAATTATATTCTCCAAAATTATTCATATGATGCATTCTTAATACTCATAAAAATCCCAACTTCCTAACTTAACAAACACCAAAGTTATGGCATTTCCGATCAATCAGTTATATGGCAGCTATAAGATATAGTCGGCCGATCCTTATGAAATTCGGTATGTCGGATTGATTGGCCAAAAATAAAACCCATAGAAAGTCCCAACTTCTTATCTTTAAAAACACCAAAGTTATGGCTTTTCCGATCGTTCAGTTATATGGCAGCTATATGATATAGTCGCCCGATCCGGCTCGTTCCGACTTATATACTACCTGCAATAGAAAGACAACTTTTGGGAAAGTTTCGAGCAGATAGCTTTAAAACTGAGGGACTAGTTTGCGTAGAAACGGACGGACAGACGGACAGACGGACAGACTGACAGACGGACGGACAGACGGACGGACAGACGGACAGACGGACATGGCTAGATCGACTCTCCTGGTGATGCTGATCAAGAATATATATACTCCTTCACTGCGTTGCAAACTTTTGACTGAAATTATAATACCCTCTGCAAGGGTATAAAAATATAGAAATAATAAACAAAGTATTTGACAAGTTTTTAATATTTAGGGCTAATTTGAAGTTAATACATTCTTCGTGACTTGATTTTAATTTACCATCTCATGTTTTACATTCAATTATGGTCTGTCCATTTTTGTGGCTAGCTTTTAATTCATTTTGTTTATGGACGATTTGGTGTCCTTGGGGGGCGGTGGGCGTGGCCGCACCTACAATTTCCGCATGTCAACTGCACTTTGCATGAGTGCTCAGGAGTGGGGGGGAGGGGTAGGCGGGGTTAACAATGGGCGGGATCAGGGGGCGGGGCACACCCACACTTGTGCCACATCAGCACTTCAACTCTTGACTCCTCGACTTGGTTGTGCTTTTCCACTGGATCGTCATTATCATCGCCATCGTCATCGGTGTGGTTCACTTCCCCATTTTCCGGACCCATTTTCCTGCCCGATTTTCCTTCTCGATTTTCCCGCTTGCCCCAAACTCTGTGCTTTGTTTTTTTTTTCTTTTCTGTGTGGCATTTCCACTTGATTTACAAAACTCAACGCAACAACGAGGATAAGGGGCAAGTGGAGCAACAACAAAACCACATTTGACTGACTGACGACTGACTGCCACGCCCCCTTCGGCCCCTCCATATATCCTCCCACCCCCCTCCACCCCACCCCTGTCTGTCTGAGTGTGTCTATATGTGTGTCTGTGTGTGTGTGGCATGTTACAGAGTTGATTTATATGCACGTCGATTCGACGTAATTGAAGACGTGATCGAAATTCAAATTTTTGATTTTTAGAACCCGTGACTGGATTGGCATTTGTACAGGGACCTTCCGCTATAGCCCCCCACAGACCGCCCCTTTTTTCCCACCCACTTTCGCCGGTTCTCTTGGCTTAATGTGATTTTGGTTTTTCATTCTCTTCGCCTTGTATTTGCTATCAAATAATTTTTGCTTTGTTTTTCGGCTCCTTATTTTGGCAACAAGTGGAAAAGGACATCTTTTCGAAGCAGGACATTTTTATCAATGAAGGCGGGCTTATATCCTATTAAAGGGTAGCCAACGCTTTGCTCTTTATTTTATTTTAAATCAATTATATTTAATTTATAAAAAAAACAGAAACATATTTATTCATAATTTATAAAACTTAGAAACATCAAAAGCAATCAAATTAAATATGTAATATACATACACTCATTGTTTATGCAGTCATAAATTTGTTGTAAATTATAATCTTTTTAATCTTGAAATAATTGCAATTAAATTCTTGACCTATGGCAACCTATGTGGTTTTAAGTTTTCCATGTCGAGCTTTGTGACTTCTGTATTATAAACAACCTAGAAATCCGAAGGGTATTTTTGGCTGTACCTTTGCAGATTAAGTCCCTTAACTTGTTTGTCGGCTCTCCTCAGGGATGAGCCCCTTCCCCCCTCCCCCCTCCACGATGTGTTTGCCATCCCAATCCGGTCTCAACTTCAGTCTCTGTCAGGGCATTTCCATCCCAAACTCGAACTCAAACTCATACCCAAACTCAAGCTCTGTTAAATCAGCCATGAAAACGGATTGTCGTCTGTGCATTTTTGCATTTCTTTTGCTCATTTCATTGACTGACTGGCTGGAGTGAATGAGTGAATGGGTGAATGGGTGGATGAGGAACTGCCTGAATGACTGGCTGACTGAGTGGCGTGTCCTGACAAAACGTGACCTGCTGTCATGTCTTACAGTTTTCAATAATAATGGCAGCCAGCTGGCGGCTGTGTCCGCCCCCCATTTTCCATCTTTTCCGCATTTTGCTTATTAACACTGCCTTCATCTTGGGGATTATGTCTCCTTCAGCCCCCCCTCTCACACACACACACACGCACACGCATACTCGTCTGACATTAACTTCAACACCTGGTGGGAAAAGTGGGCAAAGAAAAGTGGGCGGGACGACTCGCACTCATCCAGATGCTAATGGCTGTGTTGTCGACACTCCAGACATTTGCTGGCTTTATGTGTCACCCGTTTGTTGCTTCTGCTTTTCCACCTCCCCAACTTTTCCGCTAGAACTCTGTTGTTCTGCCTCCGAAAGATTCTAGTCCCAGTGATGAGGAGTACCTGTGATTTTATCCACTAAAGTCACAGTTTAGAGAACTGACTTAATTATTTTATTATGAAAACAATGCATTTTAAAGCGGAATGAAGAAATCCTATGCTAATTAAAAAAATGTCACAGGTTGCTAACGCTTTTTTGTTTTTATTTTTTAACTATAAATAATTATAATTAATATAATTATATAAAATAATTATTTGAACTGTTTGTTCAGCTGAAGACCTAAGATATCAGCACCTATCACTTTTCTGCGGATTTCGAAAAATTAAAGTTTTATCACAATTTTGAATTTTTGATAAGTTATTTTGAAAAAATGGGCATTTTAAATTACGACTATTCGTCAGATTCAACACTTTAAGGAACCAAGTATAAATGTTTTTATTTTAACAGAATGATGTTTTTGCATTTTTGAATTTCTTAACTTCATTTTTATTAAATCTCCTAAAAAGTCAAAGTTCGTCGCAATACTTTCGCAACCTGTGACTTTTCCTTGGATGAATGTGACTGTTCATACATATGTAAAAAGTATGGGGTTTGGATGTCGCTGTGTGCTGAGTTTGCCTATGCTGTTGTGCTTTTGTCTTATGTTTCGTTTGTGTTAATATTTACATAATTGTGGTTAAAAGTAGCTTTTAAGATGTTTTTAACTGGCATATGAAGAGGAGTGGTACGTACCCCGACGTTGCCATTTTGTCAGTTTGGCTTTTGTTGCCGTCTCCTGCATTTAATGGCCCGCCAGAAACAACAACTGACAAATGTTGGAATCCGTTTTATTGCTCAAATCTCCGACCCCTTGACCACTTCTAATGGCTTGACATTTTAATAAAGAGCAGTTTCAGAACGGGGGTGTTGGGAACAAGCAGCAACTTTTGATATTTCGGTTTGTTTGGGCCAACAAAAGCAGCAATTTTTCACTATTTACACACAGAAATGCTGAAAATATTTTTGGCAAACCTCAAACATTTTATTTTGCTTTTTCCTTTCGATTTTTTCGTAACTCATCTCAGTTTTTTTTTTTTTGCCTGGATTTCTAGATAAATTTGTTGGCAAAATTGTTTGGGTTTTAAAATATTGAAGAGGTAAGGGATGGGGGGGTGGGGGGTGAAATATCCACATATCCGTTTGTGTTAAGTTAGCAGGGCGGGAAAAGGGGGCAGGGGGTGATAGTTTTCCCCCAAAAATGTTTGTTGGTTTCTCTCAGAATCCAAATATCCCTCTACCCCCTCCCCCCTTTCACCGTAGTTTTCCCTTCAAGCTTGTTAGCAAACGTTTACGCAAGTGGGCGGCTCAATGTGTGGGCGTGGCACTTGATGTGCTGCAACTTTTGTTGTTGGCAGCCACAGAAACTTTAACTTTTTGGCAACTTGTTTCAACGCTTCCCATCGCAGTGCAGGGGGCATCGAGGGGTTAAAGGTGGTCAGCCGCATAAGGCAAAATTGTGGCCGAGAAAGCTCAAAAGCGCCGCAAAGCTAAGAACAAGTGATAATGGCCAAATCTAAGCGGTAACGGATTAACTGGGTGGCGGGCTAAAGTTTTCCCAAGATTTCCAGGTGGGTTTTCCTCCCCATTCCATCTGACCCCATACACCTTGCACTTTAAAATGTGATTTCTAAAACATAACTTACTTAGGGGTAATAGTTTTAAAACGATAGCAAGTTTAAGTTAACCCAGCAAGCCAAGTGTTTTCCTTTTAACAACTCTTTCAAAGTCCTCGCCACTATTGAATTTATATTTTTCCGTCTGGTAGGTAATACGGGAAATCAAAATAATCTTTTTAAATATATGTATTAAAAATTATTTAGAAATCTAAATATTTGGAGGATGAACCGAAAGCCGTTTGGACTGCCCATTTGGACGCCGCTCTTCATCCTTTTCTTGCTATTCCTGGCCGGCGCGTGGGGTAAGCCATCGCGTAAGCAAAACTCACCTTCTGGGATAAAGTTCGCATCGAAATAAACGAGTCTTTACCCCGACAGCTCTGGTGAATCACCATGGTCTGCTGGGGATGTACCACCAGCAGGTTCACGGATCTGCTCAGAGGAAGGGAGGTGAATGCTTCGGGGAGGCAATAAAGGACATTGGACACTATCGACCCGATCGGTCCATGAATCGTGAGTATTTCGGATAAAGTTGTTTTGTTTTTTAATACAAAAACTATCTTTCAGCATTGAAAGCCTTTCTTTCTTGGCCCGGAAAATCACGAAAAGCTGATAAGATGGAGGATAAGAAGTTAGTTGAGGAGGAGTCGTTCAGTCCCGAAGAGACACAGAATAACCAAGTGGAGGAGCCTCAGTTGGAGGCTAATGTGGAACCACTTCTAGCCCCGGAAGATGAGCTGCTCTTCGACCAGAAACCGGGGCTTCTTAACGAGGACGATTGGGATCACTTTAATAAGGATCAGGACCAGGACCAAGATATGTTTGACAAATATAAAGGTACGCTTAAATAACTATATATTGATTGGGCTACTTTTGCAAAAATATATCTTTTTTTTCAATATTTTTAGCCAGCAAATCTGAGCTGGTTAACAGTTCCATGATGGATTATAAACGAGAATTTGCCAGTGATGAGGCAAATCCTTTTGTGGAAAGCCTTCGACAGCGTTATGAGCCCTCGCCACATGTCTATTCAGATTAATGTGTGTTCTGAATACAAATCCATATATTTTTTGTATTTGCTTCACAGATAAGTGAACAATCAATAAAAGCGAACTTTCTGTTGATATAAATGTGTTAAATATAATTATTTAAACGTATGCCTCTATTTAACTGTCATTTGCATTAAATGTAGAATTCAGGCAGATTTTCTTTCTGATTCGAATTATGGGTTTTATTGTTGCTCAGCTTACTATAACTTTATCTTTATTTGATTTAACTGCCTCAGATATTTTTCATGATTTACAAGAAATTCTCTCTTAGTTAAAATTGAACAGACATTTATAGCTGAAGAAACACCATTAATTTCTTTCAACTGAGACAAGTTGAAACTTAATTTATTTTTTGACAAAACAATACTTAATTATCTTGTGTGTGGCTGTCCAATTTCAACTGTCAGTGGGGGAAAATGAGAAAAGCGGGAAATGGGAAAATGGGAAAAGGAAAAGCTCGCTTGATCGGTGATTTGCGTGGCGCCCTCTGTCGCCCAATTTGGGGGCAATTACCGAGCGATTAAAGAGTTTCCACGGGAAACTCGGTGGAAAAACTGACGAAAGTTTTTTGGCCAGAGCAGCTGGCGCGCAATAAACGTAATCAAATTTAATTTCAACAAATTGCTTTTGAATTACGCGACCTTCGCTGGCGCCGCTCAAGCGCAAAAGAGTTGGAAAATTGTTAAAATAATAATAACTTTCCATCCAACTCCCCAACCACCCCCCCCGATGTGTTTGTGCCGCAGAACAATTGCCACAATAACAACAGCAATTTGCGCTCGAAATGACGGAATGAGTGGACGCCCACGCGGCGTATACGTAATCATAAAAATTATGATTCATTCGGCCAGACAGTGGTGGCTGAAAAAATCAGACAGAGTTTGAGTTAGAGCTGTTCCTAATAAACAAATTAATTTGATTGAAGCCCAAATGCAAACTTTTCATTACAAGTTGCAAAGGCAAATTCATTTGGGGTTTTCCCCATCTACTTTACTGATGGGAAAATTAAGGGAAATTTTAGTTCTAGGAAAGTTTAAAATTTAAAGTTTTCTATGGAAGAAGCTCGAAAATTTAAAAGTATCAAAAAAATATCCGAGGTGATTAGACATTGTTTAGAGGAACATTTATTAAACCAACTTTTCCCCTAACGTAGATTTATGTTTTATATGTTTTATGCGTTCGGTATTTTATGTTGTATTTGCTTATGTTATTTTATGCTTTTAAAATAAAGTTAAGCTTTAACTAAATCTGGATGCTTTGTAAAAAGTTTGATGAAATGTCAAACGAATCGACTGATGTTTGGCCTTTGTAAATGCCAATCCCCATTATTTTAGCCACAAATCGGAGAGAAAAGCGAGGGGAAAGCGGCTAATTAAGGCTTTTACAACGGGCCAACAGCAGTTCACCACTGGCCCTGTTATTCCCAGGTAATTTACATGTAAACAATTGTCCGATCCTGTTGGTTTGCTCTTGTTTTTCCCCGCTTTTTACCATTTTTTTCTATTTCAGTTTAAGCCATCATCAACTGACAATTTTGCGGCTCTGCGATGTCCTTCTCGCCGCTCGTTGCACATTTACATTTTGGCCAAAAGGGGGAGGGTCGAAAAGTCAAACTAATCTAACAACTGCTAACAATAAGAACCAGCCTTTAGCCTCCCCCCCTCCCCCCTGCCGCCCACCCTTTTTAGCGGGCCATCTAACCCCAAGGGCAGCCACCGGTTTTCCCCACATTTTCCTCCATTTTCCCCCGGCATTTTCCCGGCTTTGTGCAAGTTGTTTTAACAAAGCATTTTGTAGTTGACAAATATATCTGTGCTTCTGTATCTGTATATCTGCATGTGTTTGTATATATATTTATATTTATACATATATATATATACGTTGACAATTTTGCGTTGTCAGTTGTTGTTTTAATTAGAAAACTTTTTTACCAAACAACAACAGCAGCAAAAAAGCAGCAGGAGCAACAGCAAAACTCAAAAAACGATTTTGAACGCCACAGAATTTGCCGCCGCCGCCCCTGCAGTATTTGCATTTTCTATTTTATTTTGCTGCCTGCCAAATGAATAATGAATTTCTCTTCATTTCCACATTTTCGGATTTCTGTTTCTGTTTTCCATCTGCTGTGTGTGTGTGTGTGTGTGTGTGTGTGAGTGTGAGCCTGAATTACTTATCGCAAAATTCATGGGCTCGCATAAAAGCTTCCCACTTCAATCAGATCTGAGGAGCAGATAACCGACTATCCATCTGGACCAAGAAACTATAGTTGCCCTCATTGGATTTCCTTATTCCGCCATTTCTTCTACCATTTTTTGGATTTTTTTTTGTTTATTTTGCAAAATTAAATCCAACGTTTTAGTTTTATGAGGCAAAACTTGCTTTGTTTGCTGAATGGGTAAGGCAAGGGGAGCGGGAAGGGGGTGCGGCCAACCGCAAAGCCAACGGCCTAAAACAGGGTCAAAACGAATTCCAGATACTCTTTATAAGAGTAAGACTGTATGTCTTAATTCCCAAATGTTCCATCTTTTGCATCACAATGAACATTTACAGATGAGCTGCAAGAGCACTCATTTTAACACGCTTTTAACATATAATTAAGAAAATATAAAGATTACTTGCAAAATGGTGTCGATCAATCTTTAAAGTACTTTCAAGTTAATATCAAAATTGTTTAAATTGTTATCAACTTAAAAAAAATATGATTGAGTGCCTGAGAAAATAATAAAATAATAATGACATCATTACGTTTTTGTATAACAATTGTTGGTATCCTTAACTTTACCATAAAACTATATCGTTGTTCATATTAACGTATACCTTAGCCATCCGCTTTCCCAATTTAATGTACTATAATAATTGTAGTTTTTATGGTACTTTTATTGATTCTTTGAGCTTCAAGTTTCTTCGATTAACTTAAATAATAATTAGGATAATTACATTTTTGTATTACAAAGGTTAGTATTCTTATCTATAGGTATTATATATTTTTGTACTAAGCATTTGAGTTGTTTCTTGTGATATTTCATAGCAAGTTCATGTTTAAGGTATAAGGTTATATGTTTGTAGTAAGATATCCTTTCACATCGTTTAGGTATCAGTGTGTTAGTTGTATCGTGTGCTATAATATTCCATGGTGCCCGATCAATTGGCAGAGTATATCCTTGATCTGGAAGGGAATAGAAATAAAAACGCTGCATCCGATGATACGCAAACACACACACACACACACACACACACACAGAGCCACATGTATTAGAGTGCGGTTTGTTGTCAATCTCGTTAGAAACGAATCCTTTCGTAATCCTTGTGCTTCAGCTGCAGCTTTTTTTTGTATTTTTTTTTTGTTGGTTTCTGCTTTGTTTTTGCGCTCCTCTTTATTTTTTTTCACCCCGCCCGGCACTGACGTCACTGGGCGGTTGGTGCGTTTTTGCTGCTTAATCCGCTGCCACCGTCATCAAGATGAGCTCCATGCGAGTACTTAGGGGGTTAAAGTCGGTGGGGGTAGAAGGGGGGGCGACTATCAGCAGCCCAGCATCTTACCGCCCAACCAGCATGCAGCGTTTCCAATTTCACGACGAGCCCCGCAAATCCCACATAAGAAATTGTTTTCGAGTTATCTTTCATTTTCCGCCGCTTTCCCTTCGCTTATTGTTTTTTTTCCCCCTATTTCCCTTGCCAGTTGGAAAATGGAGGGCCGGAAAAATGGGGTAAAAGCCTAGTAATTATTTGGGCTAGTTAAAAATGTTAAATGCCACCGCGACAGCTACAAATGGACATCATTATTTATTTTTGGGGATCTGCTGCCATCCGGCTAAATATGATTGATGGCCCTTGTCGCGTTACGTAATCGCTGTCATGGCTGCGTGTGTGTGTTTGTGGGTGTGTGTGTGTGTAGGGGTGTGGGTGAGAGTCCTGCGAGTTCAAGCCGTAAAAAGCCATAATATTTGCAGGTGTGCCACGAGGGTGTTAACACTTTGTTGCCGCTTTAGAATCACTGACATGCAGCCGTCACAAAGTTGTTAACGTGATTTCAAGATAATTATCAGCATATTCTGTACACTGCAAGAAAATGCAGTCGATATATGGGGTAGAAAAATTATACATTTGTTTGTGTCTGTTTGGGCATTTTTATATTCTTTAAATAAAACATTTGTGCATACATTTCATATTATGTTGGTATTCTATTTTAATAAAAACTCTGGATTTCAAGTAAATATATTTGTATTTTACTTCAGGAATATTTTTTTATTATTATCGACTCTTAGCTTTTAAATACAAAGCTTATTAAAAACTTGTATCATGTTATTTTTTATTAGGAAAAGAGATTTCTTTTCTATTTATTCTTTATTCCATTTTGTAATGACATAATTTATATTTAAATATCTTCATGTAATGTTAGAAAGTACATTATTCAGTAGTTAGAAAAGTTGAGAAAATTCCGATACGAAATAAGTGAATATAAATTGCTAGATGTTTTCATCTATCAAGCGTTTAATTTCTTTAAGCTGCAGGCTTTAAAGTGTCCTTATTCGATTCGATTCAATTCGATTGAGCTCAAAGCAGCCAAGTCAAGGACAACAAACGGGAAACTCGGAGCAATGGAACGCATATTTACGCATTAATCAATGGGGCAAACACGGCTAGAAGAGGGAAATAAAAATGAATGAAAGAATGGCCTGGATGGCGAACAGGTATCCCCCACAAACGACCCAAACCCCCCCCCCCCCAGACGCTTTTCCTCTCCGCCGTCTTCTACTCATTTCCATTTTGATCCTAAGCTTGGCCTGGCCTATTCATGTGGAAATCGAGTGCGGTTTGAGCTGTTGGTAGACATAACAAGAAATAAGGATAAAGTCAGGGGTTTCGACTTTGGAATACCTGTTAATCAAATATAGAAAATATATTAAAATGCTTGCATATAATAATATATAATTTATAATCAAAAACTACCATTATTGGTTTATTTCTTTGGTTTATATGCCTTAACAAATTTTAATATTATATATGTTACATTAATATACATTTATGTTTGTTCAAAAACTAGTTTATTAATATCTGGTTTCTT